AAAGTAGAATTGTAGATTTCTGCTTTTTTCCATACTTCAAATATTTTATGTTGCTTTCTTTTCTAGTTTCTAGTGAGAAAATTCACTGTAAATCTTATCTTTTTACCTTTTACCTTTTCAGGTAAGATATTTTTTTCCCTCTGTCTTCTTTCAAGATTTTCTCCTTGTTTGTTTTCTTCAGTTTGAATGTGATATGCCCAGGTGTAGATTTTTTTGGTATATATTCTATTTGAAATTCTCTGAATTTTCTGGATTTGTGGTTTGGTGTCTGTCACTAACTTGGGAAAATTCACAGCTGTTTTTACTTCAGATATTTCTTTTGTTCCATTCTCTGTTTCTTCTTCTGGTATTCTAATTACAGTAATTTTAAATGATCAAGTTGTATTTTTAACACGAAAGAATATGCATGATTTATCAGTAAGAAACTTGGGGATATAAAACAGCAATCATCATTTATAACTTCTCAGAGTTTCTCTAGGTCAGGAATGCAGAAACATTTTATATTCACTATACAAAATCTGGGATCCAAAAGACTTAAATTCTGAGGGCTAGAATCATCCAAAGTCTCAGTTGCTCACATGTCTTAGCTCAGTCTGGAGCTGGGGCTGTTGGATGGAGCATCTATGTACGATAACTCCCTGTGTCTTGGCCATGCAATATAGTGCACAGGCTCCACATGAGCCAGGTGGAAGGTGTATTTTACTACCTCTTCTTGGAAGTCACACAGGATCACCTCCACTGAATTCCACTGGGTGCTCACAGAATATGTGAGTAGAAAATTAATTGGTCATCTTGAGAAAGCACAATCTGCCCCATCTGTTAGAATTTAAAATGTACATATATGTTGATGCAATAGTACAGTCTTTAACAGTTTATTTTAAAAATACATGTATCCAGAGATATCTATATGAGAATGGTTATTGTGTACTATTTGTTATGTAAATACCCATCAATAAGGGAAGTGATTAAATAAGTATTTTACAGTGGAATATATCATGTAGTTATTAAAAAGAGTGAAGTTTGTGTATGACAGTTACCTGTCATCGGTTGAGGCTGTGCAGTAAGAAGATACTGTGAACCATGAGTATAATCTACCTATCTGATTTTAAATTTTCTAGTAATAATGTAATTATTACTAGAAGCAATTAAATGAACTTAGTATTTTTAATCTAGTGTATCCAAATATTATTTCAATATGAATCAATATAAAATTATTACTGAGATAGTGTTTCTTTGTGTATGTGTGTGTATATATACATATATAGTAAACCATCTGCTATGTATCTATCTATCTATCTATCTATCTATATATAGTATATCTCAATTCAGAATAACTACATTTCATATACCCAGTAGCTACTTGTGGCTGGTGTCTACCACATATTGGGCAGTAAATTCATAAACAAATCATAAAAATTTAATATTTGAAATTAGATAAAAAATATTTTTATTGTATATAGATAGAAAGATTTTTTATTATAGAGACTCAGTATTTGAATATATAAGAATATATTAAGTTCATTTTCTGATGGCAGACCTGCCAAGTTACCTCATTCTATTTAATGACTACACAACAGAAAACCATAGAATGATCTTTTACATTCTGAAAGAAACTATCATCCCATTCAAGAATGAGGATGAAATAAAAACATTCTGAGATAAAAGAAAATTTAGCTAATGTTCTGCTAGCAAACTAGCACTACAAGGTATACTATAGGAAGTTCTTGAAGCTAAAAGAAAAATATGCCAGATGGGAACTCTGATTATAGCATTAGAAATGGTAGCTGTCTGGATGAATCTCTCTCAATTTCTTTAAAATGCATGTGACTATTCAAAGCAAAATTGAAATATTGTATTATGGAGTTTTATAATGTAGGTAGATATAATATATTTGACAACCATGGAGATAGAATCCTTCCTTATCTGAACTGGAGAAGCTCTGTCTTCATTTCTGGGCTGCCTATGTCTGGTTTTTGACCCTTGGCCAAACAAAATAAGGGCAGTGTATATGTTGCTTAAAATCTGAATAGCACAGGCAACCTCCAGTAGCCTCTTTACTAATGGTTTGCAAACTGACCTAAATGGTTTGACATAAGATTTATTTGATTGCATAAAATGCCCCTGCTGAGAGTTCCTCCTGCATATCCAGAGAGTCCAGCATAAAGTCAGTGTGTGCAAATAAGAGAAATCACAGTGCAATGTCTCCTGGTCTCCCAGGGGTTCCTTGCACACTCTTTCTTTTGCTGTACTGCATGTATCCTTTGCTTTTAAATAAAAGCCTTTCATGAGTATGCTCTGTGAGGTCTGGTGAGTCTTGTCAACTCTGAACTGGAAAAATCTTTATAGCAACCATAAACGGGATTGTGGTATCCTATATATTTGCTGGGTTCTTGCATTCTGTGTGAAACAATCTATTTGCTCTAAATAGTCTAGGAATGATGAAGAATATATGTTGTTATTATCAGAGCAGCCACTAAAAATGCAAAGAGGCATAACTGAAAAGTCCATATATAAATTAAAATGGAATCTAAAAGAATTCAAGGATAACCAGGCATGCCTATACTCTGGAGGCTGAGGAAAAAGATCACAAGTTTGAGGCCAGCCTCAACAAGTTACCAAGACCCTGTCTCAAAATACAAAATAGAAAGGGCTGGGGATGTGGGTCAATGGTAAAGCATCCCTGCATTTAATCCCCAGTATCTCCTACCTCGCAAAAAGAATTTAAGCTCTGAGGTGAAACTCAATGGTAGAGTGCATTTTTAGCATACATGAGGCTCTAGGTTTGATTCCCTAGTATCACAAAATTAATTAATTTAAAAGAAAGGAAATACATACATACTGGAAATAATGTAAACCTAATGGTGTAAAGAAATAAGAAATAAGGAAAAGATTGTTTTGCAGCCCTCTCCACAAATATCAGAAAATAATTAGGGTGACAACTTGTATTCTTCTGAACAATTTTGTGTGCACCATTATGTGTGTGTGTATGTGTGTGTATACACTATTTCAACAAATAGAGATTGTTTTGTCACTTGCTCTTTCATATGAATTGATAATATATTAAGTTCATTTTCTGATGGTAGACATGCTAAGTTACCTCATTCTATTTAATGACTACATAACATTTCATGGAATATATATACTATAATTTGCTTATCCATTCCCTGATTGGTAGATATATGGGTTGTTTTCAGTTTTTCACCATTGTTTTAGTTTTCTATTGCTGCCATTAACAATTTACTACATATTCAGTGGCTTAAAACAAGATAAATTTATTCTCTTATTCTACAAGTCAGAAGTCTGAAATCACTTTCACTGGCTTAAGATCATGCTGTCAGCAGGGCTAGTTCTTTCTAAAGACTCCAAAGGGAAAATCTGTTTCCTTGTCCTTTTTATCATCTTGAGGTTGCCCTCAGTCCTTGGCTTGTGGCCCTTTAATCCATCTTCAGTGTATGTCACATCAATCTCTGCTTGTCCTCACATCACCTTCTTGTAACTTATTCCTAGTGGTTCCTTATTATAAGAGAACTATTGTGATCACTTCTGCTCTACCTGGGCAGTAATCTAGAATAATTATTCATATTCTGATGGCAGACATGCCAAGTTACCTCATTCCATTTAATGACTACATAACATTTCATGGAATACATGTACTATAATTTGCTGATCCATTCCCTCGTCTCCAGCTCCTTAATGTAAACAGATCTTTAAATCACTTTTGTCATACATGTAACATGTAAATGTTCAGTATTCGGCCTATGCAACCATTGACTTACAAGTCACATTGCAGTAAGCATCTGTGAACAAATATCCCTATACAGCTACGTAATTATTATTATTTAAAAAAAAATTTTGGTAGTAGAATCCCAGAAGTAGAAATGCAAAGTTAAAATGTACCCTTTACATTTTGTTGGATTCTCAGCAAAATACCCACCAAAAACATAGGAAGTTTTCTTTTTTTAACACTTTCATAAAAGAATTGCCATCTCCCCAGCTCATGCCTTATTGTATTTTGGGGGGCTTTAACTGGGGTTCCGTTCTAAGAAACCAAATAGTCTTGCAGGTCCTGTGATTCCTTTAATTTTCATAGTGAATGGAAACCCATTTAGACAAGATAGTCCAGGGGTCTGCTACCTGACTTCAAACTCTAGCTCCAACATTTTCTAACAGCTTTACCTTGAAAAGGTACTTATTTTTTCTTCCCTTCTTTCTTCCCTTCTCCCCTTGCCCCCACCCCTTCTCCTCTTTCTTCTTGTTTCTTCTTCTTCTTTTTTCTTTCTTTCTTTTCTTTTCTTTTTTTTTTATTTCCCCCAGCACTGGGTATTGAACCCAGGGACAATCTATCACTGAGCTACACAACCAGACTTTTCCATTTTAATACAGGGTCTCACTAAGTGGCCTAGGCTGGTCTCAAACTTGAGATCCTCCTGCCTCAGGCTCCCAAGTAGCTGGGATTACAAATATATGTCATCATACGTGAAATTAACTTAGTTTTTCTAAACATGTTTCTTCATTTGAAAAATAATTTAATTGTAGTATCTTCCCCATAGGATTTTTTATGAGATTGAACATAGGTAATACATACACAGTTCCTATTTTAGTCCCTAATATTCAGTTAATATTAACTTTTTTGTTGTTGTTTTGTCGTGCTGGGGATTGAATGCAGGGCCTCACACATACTGGGGAAGTACTCCACCACTGAGCTACATTTCCAATTCTTAAATAATTATATTTTTAAAATTTGTTTTGTGACTTATAAAATCTTTTATATTTATTTATGTTCAGCTAGTGGTATTTTCTCTAGTTTTCCAGCTTCTCTCTAGATGTATCCTGATTATTTTCCTTAGGTATTTAAAAGAAATTAAGTAGCTGATTTGAAATATTTAGAATCCCAAGACATTTTAAGAGTTACTTGCTATGCATCACAGTGTAACCATCTTATCAAGTTTTCATAGAGGAAGATTGATCCTGAGTGAGTATAAATGGGTTTCCCATTCCAGGAGTCTGTGACATTCAGAGATGTGGCTGTGCTCTTCAGCCAGGATGAATGGTTGCATCTGGACTCTGCCCAGAGAACCTTGTATCGGGAGGTGATGCTGGAGAATTACAGCAGCCTGGTCTCACTCGGTAAGGATTTTTGCCTATAATGAAGAATGTGCAAGAAAATCACCTTGGAGTTCCCTTTTTGCAATTCAGTGTCTACAGGTTTCCACCTTGGGAAAAGTTGTATCCTGTAGAAATGAAAGTGAATGTTTGTGTTGTGATGATCTTCATGCTATTCTCTTTTCTCACACACTACTCCCAATCAATATTCTTCCATGCAGTAGGCCAGTGACTAAATCCCCAAAACATACAGGACATTTAGATGTTGAAAACATAAGAACACCCTGCCATAGAGGCATTCCTTGCCAGGGCCCTATGTTATTTCTGAAGTAAACCCTGCTTTATGATCCACCACCTGAAAGCTCCAGTCCCCTTATAAGTGTTTGTGCTGCTCATTCCACCTCCTGCAGTTGCCTTCTCTGCCTTTTTGGCTCAGAGTAAGTGTGATGTGAGTTCTATTTGAGGCTGCTATTTATTCAAACTCCATTTCCTTCCACATAAGCAGGAATTCCATTTTCAACACCGAAGGTGATTTGCCAGTTGCAACAAGGAGAAGATCCCTGCATGGTGGAAAGAGAAGCTCCTCCAGACACATGCCCAGGTGAGTGAGATACTGGGAAATGGGCACAAGGGAGTCTTTATAGATTAGCGGGTCATGAAGAGGTAGTGGTCTGGTGACTTTCTTGGAAATACTGGGCCCTGTTGAGATGTTCAGGGCCAGTTGCATTTAATTTAAGCTACATAGTTCACTTAAATACATATAGTTACCTAATCGCAGTTATCTAATCCTGTCTATCAAATCATGGATTGAGTGAAAAAAAACAGATTTTAACTCCAAATCAATCCAGCTCAAAGTAAATCTTTTCACATAAAACTGAGCTTCAGGACAAATTGATTTCATTTATCTTACAGATTTTCATTATTCCCACAATTCCTACGAGTAAATTATAGTCTTCTGGTTGCAGTTTATTAGAAGAAAACAGTATGTTTCTTTTTCTCAATGATAAAATAGAAAGAGGAAAGGGATGGAAGGGTAGTAGGAAAAAGTTGTTCTTCCTCCAATCACAAGAGATAAATTGTTTCACATGGCTGATTTACTCCATATTTTTCTTTATAATTAACATCTCAAACTTAGATCAAATATTCTCAACGCAGTCATGCTTCAGGACTATTGTGATTTTTAAAATCTGAGTGTTCTTTTATTTTTTTGGTACCAGGGATTGAACTCAGGGGCACTGAACCACTAAGCCACCTCCCCAGCCCATTTTTTAAAAATTGATTTCATTATTTTTTTAAATACATGACAACAGTGGAATACATTACAATCCTTATTACACATATAGAGCACAGTTTTTCGTATCTCTTTATATAAAGTATGTTCACGTCAATTTATGCCATTATACATGTATTTTTTTTGCATTACAATTCTTAATACACATATATACCAAAATTTTTCATATCTCTGTTTGTATATAAGGTATGTTGACACCCAATTCAAGTCTTCATACATGTACTTTGTATAATGATGACCATCACATTCCACCCCAGCCCATTTTCATATTTTATTTAGAGACAGGTTCTTGCTGAGTTGTTCAAGGCCTTACTTAAGTTGCTGAGGCCGGCTCTGAACTCCAGTTCCTCCCACCTCAGCCTCCTGAGCCGCTGGGATTACAGGCATGCACCACTGCACTTGGCCTGATAGTCTTTTTTTTTAAGAAAGACTAATTTCCCTTTCACAGACTTTGCTGTGAAATTATAATCACTTTCCTATGAGTCTATGCTATAAAATCACAAAATTTAAGAAAAACAATGTAAATATTTTTAAATTATGAAATGTAGGGTTCAGAGAGAGCATGGGAAAACATATAAGGAAAGTGACATTTGGGTAGAAAGGGCAAAGTGAAAACAAGTTACCTGTTTCATTCCCTGGTATGTGCAGAGTGGAAAATGATGAGAAACTGGAAATCTCCTAGTATTGGACTTGAGCGATTCACCCGACATTGTTCTGTTTCCTCATACCTTCTGATCAGCCAGTTCTTATGCATCTAATTTTACTTCTCCCAGGGTACAGTCTCTTCATTTTCAGTGTTAATTTATCTATTACATTCTTCCATATCACCCCTTAACCTCTTTCCGTCTTTTTCCATTATATCATCCTGATTTCTGTCCAGATTAAGTCCACATTTGAGATCAGATGGCATCAAATCTCTTATATGCATTGTTGCCAATTTTATTATCCCTCTGTCCTTTCCAGCAGAAGAAGCATTAATCTTCTGATTTATTTCAGATTTCAAGACTTTGCCTGAGATAGAAGAATTGCCTGCTTCACAGGACGTTTTTATTGAAGCAACAACTCATGGAATAATAAAGAAAAAATCCACTAAGTATGTTCCCCGGGACATCAACTTTGGAGAAACTGTGAAATCTGAGAGGAGCATAGTACAGGAGAAACCTCTTAGGCAAATGGCAGCCTCCCCCAAAAAAACCATCAGCGGAGGTAGAAACCCTACAAGTCTTGAACTAGAGAAAGGCTCATTGATAAACAAAATTATTGTTTCACAACAGAGTATTCCCATAGAAAGGATACCCAATATGTATTACACTTTTGGGAAAGATTTTACACAAAATTTTGATTTAATGAGATGCTTCCAAATCTACCCAGGAGCAAAACCTCATGTCTGTAACGAATGTGGGAAGAGCTTCACCCAGAGTCTTCATCTTCTTGAACACCAGAGAATTCATACTGGGGAAAAACCCTACAAGTGTAATGAGTGTGGGAAAGCCTTCAGCCACAGGTCTTCCCTTCTTACCCATCAGAGAATCCACACTGGAGAGAAGCCTTACAAATGTAATGAATGTGAGAAAGCTTTTAGCAGCAGTTCAACTCTGATCAAACATCTGAGGGTGCACACTGGAGAGAAACCCTACCGATGTAGGGAATGTGGTAAAGCCTTTAGCCAGTGTTCAACCCTCACTGTGCACCAGAGAATTCATACTGGAGAGAAACTCTATAAATGCAGTGAATGTGAGAAGGCCTTCAACTGTAGAGCCAAATTGCATAGACATCAAAGAATTCATACAGGTGAGAAACCATATAAATGCAGTGAGTGTGGGAAAGGTTACAGCCAGTTTGCCTCCCTAGCTGAACATCAGAGACTCCATACTGGAGAACAACTGTGTCAATGTTTAGAATGTGGGAGAACCTTCACACGCATCTCCACCCTTATTGAACATCGACGGATTCATACTGGACAGAAACCCCATCAGTGTAACGAGTGTGGGAAGACCTTCAACCAGTATTCATCCTTTAATGAACATCGGAAAATTCATACTGGGGAAAAACTTTATACATGTGAAGAATGTGGGAAAGCCTTTGGTTGCAAATCCAATCTTTGTAGACACCAGAGAATCCACACTGGAGAGAAACCCTACCAGTGTAATCAGTGTGGAAAGGCATTCAGCCAGTATTCATTCCTTACTGAACATGAGAGAATCCACACTGGAGAGAAACTCTATAAGTGTATGGAATGTGGGAAAGCCTACAGTTACAGATCAAACCTCTGTAGACACAAAAAAGTCCACAATAAAGAAAGACTCTTTAAATGGAATATGGAAAACCTTTTATCTATGGCTCCTCCCTTACTCAGTACCAGAGATACTTGAGATGAGAGAAGTCTATGAACTTTAATTCATCTCTTTCATAATCCAGGACTTTTCACTGGACAATAATCAGGAGAATAGTAAATAAGGGGACCTAATAGATTTAATCTTTTTACTTTTATAGGAAAAAAGCTAGTTACACTAAGTCATGGTAAATAGACCAGTGAAAATACGAAGAGCACTGACTTTTCATTTTATAAGAACCACTGGATTCTAAGGTTTCCAAAAACTTTTCATTTTTTTAAATTTGTAGAAAAATTATAAATGTCCTCACTTTTTAAAAAAGCATAAATAGTAGTTGAATAAGTTTTCTTTCTCTGTCATTAGATCGTAATCTCTAAGAGTAAGCTTTAGTTTATGAATTTCCTTTAAAAAATAGTGATTGAGTTAATGTGAATAAGCATGGGGTCTCATTTCTAAAAATGTCAGGTTCAGGTTGCAGATAGTGGCACATACCTATAATCCCAATGACTTGGGAGCATGAGGCAGGAGGATCACAAGTTCAAAGCCAGCCTCAGCAATTTAACAAGACCCTAAGCAACTTAGTGAGATCCTGTCTTAAATGAAAATAAAGGACTGGGGTTATGCTCTGTGGTAGAACGCTTGCCTAGCTGCTTGCCTAGCATGTGTGAGGCACTGGACTCAATTCTCAGCACCACATTATTTATTTATAAATAAATTAAGTAAAAGGCCCATAAACTATATATATATATATATATATATATATATATATGAATGAATAAAAATAAAGAGTGCTGAGATGGGTAGAGCTGGATTGTGACTCAGTGGTAGAGCACTTGCTTAGCACACATGAGGCACTGGGTTCAATCCCCAGCACCAAATACAAAAAACTAAATAAACAAAGTTATTGTGTCCATCTACCACTAAAAAATATTAAAAAAAAAAAAAAGTGCTGGGATGGGGATGTGGCTCGGTTAAGTTCCCCTGAGTTCAATCCCTGGTACCATAAACAAAACAAATGAAAATGGCAAGTCAACATCGGTAGCTTTCCTATTAATAAAAAGTTATTAAAGATAAAAAGGAATTCTTTAAATTTAACTTTTCATGTGGAAATGACAAAGCTCTTTTTGCCCCATAGCAAGTTATATGTATATGTGTGTGTATATACACACACATTTATGTATACACATGTACAGTCAAAGTAAAATTAGATACACATGTGTCACTTAACAGTGGTTAAGTTTTGAAAACAATGTTTTTGTCTAACAATGCATTGTATAGTTACACACAGCTTGATGATCTAGATAAATTTGAATGCCCTCTTGATGCAATCAAGAAATGCGGAAAAACACAAGATATATGGAGCTGCTATGGTGTAACATAGCATACTGTTTTGTAGTATTTTTTATGAGTAGAAGGTGTATAAAATTACAGGAAGTATAGCATGGTAATATGTAAGCCAGTAATAGTTGTTTATCGTTATTATCAAGTATTATGTACTGTAATAATTGTATGTGCTATACTTTTATCTGACTGGTGGCACAGTAGGTTTGTTTGTACCAGCATTACCACACATGAATAATGTGTTGTGTTAAGATATTACAATAACTGTGACCTCATGGTATAGCTGCAATGGCACTGAGTGGTAGGAATTTTTCAGTTTGATTAGGATTTTATGAGACCACAATTGTATATGTATTTCATCATTAACCAAAACATCATTGTATAGCACATGACTGTATATACATCCATATGTGTATATATATATGCATGTGTGTGTATTCATATACAGAGTTTTGGAAATTTTTATTCGGAAGTCCTTAACAATTGCAAAATGCAGTCTTACTAATTTAGAATTTAGTTTTTAAAATTAAAAATTTGCCCAAAGGGCAAAAGTGCTTTCCTATATTCATCTCAAATTGGTATGGTTCTATGTGGCTGAATAGAGGAGTCTTATTATAGTACCATAGTTAAACTGAAGGAGGTGGAAAGACTGTCATGCAAATACTTTCTTTGTTGCAAAGAGTAAAATATTTGACAGAATTTCTTACTATACACTTGGTAGCATGTAAGAGCCAAGAGACATTTAGTTTAATTTAATTATAGTCTTTCATCTTTCTAATGAATTGGAGTTCAATGGACAGAGTTAAGACAAAAATTGAGATCTTTAGCTCTTGTGTTCTGTGATAATTATTATAAATTCATTTCCATCCTCTAGTCCTGAGAGCATCTTTGTTTTATAACCTGGTTAGATGCGATTGCAATAATTTAATAAGTTATCTTTTTATCTTTGAGGGTTCCCCCTCACTATAATCTTAATATTTGACTTGCAATCATAGTCTTTTTTCTTATGAACCTCTGATTGTACTTACATTTATACTAACTATTTAAATACCCCAATCCAGGGCTGGGGATGTGGCTCAAGCGGTAGCACTCTCGCCTGGCATGCGTGCGGCCCGGGTTCGATCCTCAGCACCACATACAAACGAAGATGTTGTGTCCGCCGATAACTAAAAAATAAATATTAAAATAAATAAATAAATAAATAAATACCCCAATCCAGCTAATGTCCACATGGTATAGTTGTTTGGGGGTATTTGTTATATAAGGTTGCCTTTTTATTACATATTTTCTAGGAATTCTTATGTGTAAAGTTATATATGAACATTTTGTTACTAAACATTCTATTCATTACTTAAACATTTAATTCCCCCAGGACTATTTTCTTCAATTCTACATTTGACTTTCATAGTTGGTATTATTTTAAAAATTGTTTTAGTTCAATTAGCTAGACTTTATATACTTCTTAATTGACTTGTTTTAGTTCATCAGAAAGTATAATTTTATGTATTTAAGTGTGCGTATATATATATATTATATGTACACACACACACACTTACAAGGAAAATAAGACTTTTAAACAGACCTCAATACTAAACATTGTACCCAATATAGTAAATATACTTAGTACCCAAATTTTGGTTTCTAAATGCATTCCCACTAAGAGAGTTCTTTGGAGAAATGACCGATTCCATGTTTGGAGCAGGGAAAGTATAAGGTATGCCTGGGGTATCATTTTGTGAAAAAAAATAAATCTTAAAAATAGCATTGAGGATTAATGGTGGAATATCAAGAAGGACACAAGAGCCAACTTGAGGGTCCTCCCACTGTTCAAATTTAGGATAATTTAAACATCAAAAAGATTAATCATTGAGGGGTGGGGTTGTGTGCAGTGGTAGAGCACTTGCCTAGCATGTGTGAGGCACTGGGTTCGATCCTCAGCACCCCATATAAATAAATAAAGATCCATTGACAAATAAATATTTTTAAAAAAAGATTAATCATTGAAATTTGTTGTAATGCACTAAGGGAAAAAAAAGCTCATATAGACAAAGCTCTTCATAAAATTATTTGAAGAATGCAATTTTTCAAAATACATAGAATGATTTAGGAAAATTAAGGAACATTGTTTACATGATGTCAAAAACCACAAATACCAAGTGCAAAAAAAAAGAATATTTGTTTTTATAATCAGATGTAGTTATTAAACTGTTTCACTACTTATGTAAAAAGCTGACATGTGGCTTCTGATGAGATATAAAATGAAGTATAATCTTCAATATACTTCACTATACTTCAATAATCTACAATATACTACCAAAATGTTTAATGAAAATTAAATCTACTATCTAGACTTATCCTCCTGTTCACAAGAAATATAAGGAATAGAGGAATAAGTTTAATTACAGAGTGAGAAAATAGACGAATCCAGTGTTGGGGACTTTGTACAAGACAACTGATCTAAACTTTTCAAAAAGCCAATATAATAAAAGGTGGACTCTTCTAGAATAAGAAACCCAAGAGTCATACAAATGCAAAATGTGATCCTTTATTGATTTCTGACTCAGAAAAAAATAAAACAGCTATAAAAAGACATTGGGGGAATATTTGAGGAAACGGGAGTAGAATGGATATTAGATAATGTGGTATGTTTCACTTTCTTAGGAAGTGATGATGGTATTGAGGATATATAGGATAATGCCCTTATTCTTAGGAGATGCATGCAGAAGTTTTTTAGGTTTGAAAAGTCATGATGACTGCAGGATATTTTCAAATAAATATGTAAAAACATTAGCTGTTGTTGAAACTTTGTATTGAATATAGGGATATTTATTGGTCATCCTTTAAACTTGTTTGTATGTTTAAATTTTTAATAAAAATTGAGGCAAAAAGTGATTGGATAAAATGATGAGTATGAAGGTCACAGTCAGAATTCACCATCTATATTCAGGGAGTTCCAGTTTGAGAGTTTATCTTCCAGGGATATAATCACTGGAAAAAAAATACCTTTGAATTTGTACTGGCTCCACTTTAAATGGAATAGGTGCACACCTACTGTGTTCTCTCTCCTACTGAACACAACTAATGCTTGGGGCATGACAGCAGGGATATTTGAGAAGAAAACCAGAATTTGAATTAAGATCATTTGACACTCCTGGGCATTCCTTTGGTGAGGAGAGTGTGGTTACCAAACACCTACACCTCAGAGAGATTAACTCTTGTTTCTGGTCAGGGGAACTGTAAGTCAAAAAATGGTGAAGAGGATTTCCATTGATGTACTTCTTTTACTATCTTAATGCTACTTGCTCTTGAATGTGGATATATCCATGAGGTGTGTCAGAGAGAACCTAAAGCCTTGCATTTCTAATTAGATCAGGAAGATGAAGAGACTCTCAAGAGCTGAAAGGTGACAGATAAGAAGTTACTTCACAAAACTGGGCTCACCCTTGATCCATACATATACAGGTCTAACCTTAATGGGGTAGACTATTGCTTAGGTCTGACACTGACCACATGGAATATATCTGTGAGTGTTTGAAAAACTGAACAGACGTTAGAACCACAGCTGACAAGTGAACTGGAACTGTTGACTAAACTAGCCTGCTGGAAAGAAAAAATATTTTCCAGAAGAATTGAATACTCAGTGTCTCATAATACTCAAAATGTTCAGTGTGCAATGCAGAATGACACAAATACATCAGGAAAGTTTCAACAGTTGGTTAGGAGAAAACAGTCACCAACTCAAAGATGACACATGTTGGAATTACAAGACAAAGATTTTATTTTTTATGTTTTAAAATTTTTAATTGATAGTAATTGTGCATAGTTATGGGGCTCAGTGTGACAATACCTGCATACAATGTGTAATGGTCAGGTAATTGCCATTTTATCACTTCAGACATTTATCATTTCTTTGTTCTGGGAACATTCAAAATCCTCTCTACTAGCTATTTTGAAATACATTTAGTATTTCATAAAACCATAGTTTTCCTACAGTACTATAAAGAACATTAGAAGTTATTCATCTCATTCAACTGTACCCTAAGACTTAAAGTAGATATTTACAAGAATTTTTCAAAAAGTATGGCCATTCCATAAATGAATCAGTATGTCAGATTTTTCAGCAAGAAAGCAAATGAAATTAAAAAGGAATGGGGGTGGGGTGGGGGGAGGGCTGGGATTGGGGCTCAGTGGTAGAGCGCTTACCTAGCATGTGTGAGGCACTGGGTTTGATAATTAGCACCACAGATAAATAAATAAAGATCCATTGACAACAAAAAAATTAAAAGGAACCAAAGGAAAAATTTAGAACCAAAACTAAGATAACAAAATTTAACCAAAATGAAGAATCATGAAGTCTCAATAGAATGGAGATGATTGAGGAAAGAATACACTCAAAGGTAGATTGATAAGATATTATTCTGAGCAAGAAAGAGAAAAAAAATAATTTTATCAATTGATGTAGCAGAAGGCACTTGACAAAATTAATTACCCATCAGTGATAAAACTGAGAAAATTAGAAATATAAGAGTGTTCAACCTAATGAAGATCATCTACCCAAAACCCACGACTAACATTCGGTGGTGATCAACCAGATGCTGTTATCAGGAACAAGTCACAGAGATCCATTCAGCCCTCCTTTTCAACAGTGTACTAGAAGTACTTCTTGCAATCAGGCAAGAAATACATAAAAGGCATACAGATTAGAAAGGAAAAAATAAAATGGCATTTGTATTCACAGATCACATGATTATCCACTCAAGGGGCGAGAAAACCAATATATCAACAAACTAATGAGTTTAGCAAGGTCACAAGATATAATAAGGTCAATACAAAAGTCATGTACTGGCAATGAACAACTGGAAAATGAAGTAAGATACTTCATTTGTAATTTTTAAAAATATTTATTTTTTAAGAGACAATATCTTTTATTTTATTTTTATGTGGTGCTGAGAATCCAACCCAGTACCTCACGCATGCTAGGCGAGTGCGCTACCCCTTGAGTCACATCCCCAGCCCTCATTTGTAATTTTTTTAAAGAAAGATAATTAAATCATAGAAATATAGCATGTAGGATTCTTATGTTTTTTTTTCCTGTGCTGGCAACTGAACCCAGTGCCTCATGCATGCTGGGTAAGTGCTGTGCCACTGAGCTACATATACCCCCAGCCAAAATGTAGTGTTTCTATACTGAAAAACGATAGTGATGATGACATCAAAAAAGAACTGAGAAAACAGACACACCATGTTTCCAGATTAGAAGACAATATAGTTAAGATGCCAATTTTCATCAATTTAATCTATAGACAGTACAATTTCAGTAAAAAAAAATTTACTAGCATTTTTTGTAGATGAGGGAATTCTAAAATTTGTGTGGAAAGAAAATAGAGTAGCCAAAGCAATTTTGAAAAAGAAGAAGTTAAAAACTACCAACTTTAAATCTTATTACAAAGCTGTGATAATAAAAATGGATTGGTGAAGGAATAGACAAGTAGGTCAATGTAACAGAGTACTGAAAATGACTTGTGGTTTTAAAATTATATCCTGAAGTTTTTAAATATACTTCCCTCTGAGAGATGGAACTTGATACCCTACCCTAGAGTGTATACTGGACTTGGTGACACACTTCTAAAGAAAAGAATATGGTGGCGGCAAAAGTAAAAAGGTTTGGTTATTAAAAGACTGGCTTTTGTATTTTCTATGTGCTGTCTCAGATCATTTGTCCTTTGGGAAGCCAGCTGCCACAGCATGAGGCTACTCCAAGAGCCTATGGAGAATTCCATGAAGCAAGTAAACTGATATTCATGGAGGATGGTCAGCAAGTAACTGGCCTTCTAGTAATCATGTTAGAGAATTAGATAGACATAGATCCTTCCTCCTCAAAGCCTTCACCTAAGACTTCAGCCATAGTCAACAGCTTGTCACAACCTATTGCGAAAGCCTGAGCCAGAAACAGTCAGCTAAACCATATCTGGCTTCCTAACACTCAGAAACTATAGGTATTAATTTCTTAAGCAGCAATAGATAACTAATACAGAATTTGGTTCTTGGAGGTGGGCTGCTGCAATAATGAAACCCTAAAATGTGGAAATGTTTTTGGAAGTGGGAAGCAGATGTTCAGTTTACTAGGCATGTGCTAGTAAAAATCTGAAGGGCCTTGAGGAAACTACTTATAGAAGCCTCGTATTATTTGACAAATTGACACAGATGAGGATCTGTGGGAAAGTGGAGTAAAGGTTACCGGAAACTGGAGAAAGGGAGATCTTGTTATATAGTGGCAGATGGTTCAGAAACCTTGTCACTTTCAGTAATATGGACAAACGTGTACCTAATGTGATCGCACTAGATGGAAGTACAGATTCTCTTCCTCATATTGATTTCCCTTCCTTTGAATGTATGCCCAACAGTGAGACTTCTGGGTCTATCCTGCTATTTTTGAATGATATTTTCGATCCAATATTCATGATGTTGAGTTCAACTATATCCTTGCTAAATTTCTGTCTGTAAGATCTGTCAATTAATGATAGAAAGGTATTGAAATTCTCAACTATAGTAGTGGATTTGTCTATTTCTGTTTGCAACCCTAAAAGTTTTGCTTCACTTGTATTGATGCTCTTTTGTTAGGCTGATACATGTTAAGGACTTTTGTGTTTTCTTTAGGAATTTACCCCTTTTATCACTATGTGATGTCCATCCATTCTGAGTTCTGAGTTCTGACGTCTGCTTTGTTTAAATTAATATGAACACCCCAGCTCTCTTTTGATTAATGTTAACAAAATATATCTCTTTATTATTTTGTTTTTAACTTACCTTTATAATTAAAGTGGGGTTTTGTAGACATAATGTATATTTAGGTCTTGTATTTTATTCATTCTGTCTATATTTTATTGGCATATTTCAGTCATTACCATTGAAATTGAACACTGATATCACTGGGTTAATATCTACCATATTTGCAATTGTTTACTGCACTTGTTTTTATTTTGTCTTGTACTTCTCCATATTTTTCTATCTTGTCTGATTTTAGTTGAGTATTTTATATGACTCTCTTTTCTCCTAGTAAATCAGTAATACTTCTTCAAATTTTTGTTATTGCTGCCCTAAAGTTTGAAGTATACATTTACAATTCATGCGTGTCTGCTTTCAAATACTATACTGCTTCACAAGTAATTCAGAAACCATAAAATTGTATTCCCTATTCTACCTTCCCCTCCCTTATAACATTTCTATAATCCATTAACCATATTATGTCATTCAATTTCATTTATGTATAAGCAAAAATTGTCAGTATGTCGTCACTCTTATTACTCTGGACAGTTCTCTATCACATTAACTAAGAATAAGATGATATTTTTTGCCTTCATACTCTTCCTCTCATTATGCAGATTCATGTTTCTAGTCTATGTCATTTTTCTTTTCTCTGAAGAACTTATTTTAATATTGCTTGCAAGGAAAAAATTTTATTGGTCACAAATTCCCTAATTTCTACTTGTTTGAGTAAGTACTTATTTCTTCACTTTTAAAAGATAATTCTACTGGATACACAATTCTAGGTTGGTAGAGTTTTCTCCAAGACTTTAAATATTTCATTCAACTCTTCTTGCCTTCATGGTTTCTGGTGAAATCTGATATAATTCTGTTATTCTATATGGAAGGTTCTTTTCCCCTTCTCACATATTTCAAGATTTTTCTATTTTTCATCAGTTTTCTGCAGTTTAAATCTGATATGCCTAGGTGTTGTTTTTGTTTGTTTTGTTGTTGTTGTTGTTATTGTTACATTTATCTTGCTTATTTTCTGAGCTTCCTTGATCTGATTTGGTTTTGAGTTTGGAAAAATTTCAGCCACCATAATATCACATATTGTTTCTGTTCTGTTCTTTTTTTCTTCTTTCAGC